GTGGCTAAATGAGTTGAGGTCACTCTGGTTGCATAATTAATTAAATTATTTGGACATATGTGTTTAACGTCTGTGTCCTGTGAGACAGTCGGCTCTCCCTGGAGAGGTCACTCTGGTTGCATAATTAATAAATTATTTGGTCATATATGTTTAATGTCTGTGTCCTGTGAGACAGTCGGCTCTCCCTGAACAGTGACTTTGTCTGGGTCGCTGGATTCCTGGCATCAGATGGGTGCTCAATAAATATTTGTTTTGTGAATGAGTGGTTCTGGAGGTTTCTGTGTTTCTGGGTCAAAAGTCAGAGGGTCTGCTGAGATGTGATGAGGAAAACCTGAAGAAACCCCAGGCTATGAGGATGAGGACCAGGCAGAAGCTGAGGACAGAAGGGGATCCAAATGCAGACTGATTTGCTGGGAGGTGTCAGACCCCAGCTCAGCGCCCCTGGACAACTGGAGGGATAACAGGGCACTCTTGACCCCCAATCAATGGACTTAAAGAAACAAATATTCCTAGACCTTGTCTGGTTGTGGGGAGGGGTTTCTTAGTGTACTAGCCGGTGCTCATTGGTCAAGGGTTGGGATGGGCCTGACACTGCCGGTGGGACTCATTATCTTCGGCAGCGCAGGGACAGGCAGGGACTGACAGGCCTTTCACCGTATATGTTCCCTGATTCCCCGGGAGTGACAAAGAATCCTTAAAACATATTTAGGAAGTCTTGTTCCCTAAGACCCTCTCTCCATCTGCGCCCTCCTCTCCTCTGTCATTGCCTCTCAGGGTTCTAAAAGCCGGGTCTTGAATCCCTTGAGGACCTGGATCCATGGTTTGATCCCAGAAGTATTGCAGTTCTCAATACCAAAAGTGCTGCCAGTTTGATTCCCAGCCTTTCTGTCCCCAGATACCAGCCATGGTGAATGGAATGCGGCACACAGTTTTGGAAGCCAGCTGATTGTGAATTTTCTAAGGTTCCAGTTCTTGGAGAAAAAAGACATTTCTTCGTCTGGATGATTTTCTCTCTCTGTTGTCTTGAGAGGGAGTTATGGGGTAATATTCATGGCATCATATTCTTCAAACACTTTTTGTTTGAAGGATCCACACTAGTGAATCAATATCCATTTATTGAGTACTTATTATGTACAAAAACTGGGTTACGTACTTCATTAGGAGATAAAAAGATTGGATGAGAGTTGTCCCTGTCCTCAAAGAGTTTGCAGCCTAGGTTTGGGGACAAATCACACAGTAACTAAAAGTTGAATAGCCATAAGTGTGTCAATTTGAAATCGAAGGGGTTTGCCAAACAGAACAGAACTGATTGCTTATTGAATTGTATCGACGAGGTCTGCTGCTGGAGTTTAGGAAGAATTTACAGAGAATAGCAGAGAAGCCATCACTGATCCAGGAATCTGAAATGAGTCCAGGATTTAGGACTTGGCCAAGGACACAAGAAGTGGAAAGGGTAGTGCAGACAGAGTCAGATGACTCAAGCCCAAGTGTGGTCAAGGGAATGGCATGGCTGATTTAGAACACTTAAGCGAAGGAGACCGTCTCCGTTAGGGCCAGCAATGCAGCAATGCAGCAATGCAGCTTTTTTTTTTTTTTCCAGCAGGACCGTTAGTGCCCAGCTGTGGACTCTGGACTTTCATCTGGAGATGATGGAGAGTGTACAGGTCAAAGTGCATACAGAATCCAACTTAGTAAATGGAGCACCAGGGCAAAGCTAAGAGGACAAAACGTAATAGGTAAAAGTGCAAAGGCATGTGTACTCCCATGTGTGTGCATGTGTGCGGGTGCACCCACCTTAAGAACAGCACGAATTCAGGTGGGAGTCACCTGTTTCAACAGTATTTGACTAGAAAAAGACACAGGTATTAATGTATCTGTACGCTCAATATGGGTCTGTGGTGTGATTTGGCTCGATGCAGCAGTAGGAGTAGGGTCTCTACATCAGAAGTCGCGTTAGCGTACTGTTTTCTTCCCCCAAGTCCACGAAGAGGGCTGCTTTACTAAGATGGGCCAGCATTCACACAGCACTTCCCGAGCTCTGTCCTGCAGGAGAGTTTCGTTCTCATGTGCTATTTCCATCCAGGTTTTTCCTGGACTCAGAGCCAACTTCGCTTTCTCAAGCCATTGCGCATTTTCATGCAGAGTTTACTGGGCCACCTGAGGGAGAAAAAATATTAGTGTGCAACTAGGTGACTAAGCATTTGTTTGGGACTGAACGGTGTCCTGGGACATGGAACTTTCAGGGCTAAAACGAAGGAAGTCCTGGCAAACTAGAATGATTGGTCACCCTACGACATACCGGAATCTTCTCCTTGAAGATCTGCCCCCACCACCACCAGTGGTTTTCCTCTTAGAGACTGGAATGATATACATGTCTCATAAACGTTTACCCTCTACCCAGAGATCTTGCAGAGATCTCAAAGTCTGTGTTTCTGAGGCTGTCAATCTTGTGATGTTTTAGGTTTTGCAAATCTGAAACATTCACCGTAGCCATTTTTCCTACCAGTATTTTTTTTTTTTTGAGGTCATAGTCTACAAATTTTCCTCCCATGAGATTTCCTATTGGTGGGAAACAAATTCTCTCAGTCTTGGGAGGCTAAATGTTATAGTGGAAAGAACATGGACCTTGGACGCTTAAAGATCTGCCTTTGCATTCTGGTTTCACCATATACAAGTTGTGGCAGACAGTGCTGTGTGTTCACTACGTCCTACGTCATTTTCCTCTTCTGGGAGTGTAGGAAGATTATTTAGGAGTTCTGTGAGCAGCTCTGGCCAATAGGTTATAAGCAGAGTCACTGTGTCACTTTGGAGCTGAAGCATAGAATAACTGGGGAGAGTTCCTTCATGCGCCTCTAACCTTGCTGCTGTGACCGTTAAGGCCATGTGTTCAGGTTGGTGCAGCTACAAGATGGCAGAAGTCCCTGAGTGACGGTAGAACAGAGGACCTCTCCCCTCACCACTGTCTTGCATCTTTGTTTATATGAGCAACAAATAAACATTTGTTTTGTTCCGCTACTGAGATTTGGGGGTTAATTTAATACTGCAGCTTAGCCTAGCCTAACTTGACTAAAACAATAGTTCTGTGTCTTTATCACTTCAGGCTCCTATAACAAAATACCACAGACTGGGTGGCTTAAGCAACAGACATTGATTGCTGATAGTTCTAGAGGCTGGAAATCTAAGATCCAGATGCCAGAGGGCTGGGTTCCTGGCGAGAGCCTGCTTCCTGGCCTGCAGACAGCTTCACACTTGCTGTGCCCTCTGGTGTCTCTTCCTCTTCTTATAAGGGCACTGATCTCATTATGGAGACTCCACCCCCATGACATCATCTAAACCTAATTATCATCCAAAGTCCCCACCTCCTAATACCATCACATTGGGGTTAGGGCTTCAACAAATGAATTTGGAGGGCACATTCAGTCCATAACACTCTGTAACCTTGTAGAGGCTACTTAACAATGCTGAGAGTATAAAAAAAGGGGAATAATATCTCCTTCAAAGAGGCATCTTAAAGGGCTGCTATGATGCTTAAATGAGATACAGTAGATACAGTGTTTAGAATGATGCCTCGTGCATAGCGAGAGCTGGAAAAATATTGTCCCCTTCTGTCCTTTCATGGCAATAAGTAGCTATTTCTTTCTGGAGTAGTATTTAGAGTAAATATAGCCTACAATGCCCAGGGAAGTGTATGTGTGGTCTCCAGATGGTGGAGGGAATTAGGCCTAGCTCTGCACTGTTAGTTCAGATCTCAGTCCTTCACCTGGAGTGGTTTTTGATAAAGGGACCCATGCCCAGCGGATGCCACTGGGATGTCAGGCATCGGGACACCAGGAGACCTGTGTTCACCTCTGAGCATTCATATTTTAGGAAGATTATTGGCAGATGGGGGAATTTCTAGAGGAAGATGACTAGGTTAGGAAAAGTCTGGAAGTCATGGGAATGGGTGAACAGCATACAAGTAAGGCTGGCAGATTCAGCAAGTAAAAACACAAGGAGCCCAGTAAAATTAGGATCTCAGGTAAACAAGGAACACGATTGTAATATAAATGCGCTCCATGCAATATTTGGGGACTGCTTATACTAACAAGGTATTCCTTGTTTATTTGAGATTCAAATTTAACTAGGATCCCTGTGTTTTATTTTACAATTCTAGCTACAAGGAGAAAGTTGCGTGGTCTCTTGTTGGAGACAGTGCACACATGAGATAGAGAGGTCACCTCACAGTCATGAACACAAATGCGTATTTGAACTTGAACACTACCGGTTTGCTGGGTATACAAATTTCTGAGTGAGCAATGGGAAAGTTCAGAATTAGGTGGCATTATCCCAGGACAGTTGCATGGGAGAGGCAGATTTGGGTGAGGATAAAAATGTTGCTTATACCTTACTTCTTCTTTTCCCTCAAAATATAGGTAAATGAAAACCGACTGTTGTTTCTTTTTGGTTTGCCTTAAGACCTACAAGCAAGAAGATAAGGTTCTGGTGGTTCCTTGTACATTTTCTGCCCTTCCTTCCTCCTGGTCTTTCCTTCCTCAGGCATTTATTAGCACGTACATTTATTGAGAAACTGTGCTAAGTGCTTTCTTGACGAAAGGAATCTAACAGCCCCAAAGAAGCAATACTGTACTTTTTAAGAAGGGGGAACTATATCTTACAAAATCTACGATGATTTAGAAACTTGTAGCAAGTTCTCCGGCGGTCTGTGGGTATGGTAGAAGGGGTTCAGGGCAAGGGAAGGAGCAAAGAGAGGAAAGATTAATAACTTGTAGGTGGACAAAAATCACTCTCCTCCCCTGGAACTTTTTACTTTATTTTTATTAATCATCCTAGTAAAATATGCTCATTATGGAAGACGAGAGCATTCAGAAAAATATAAAGAGATGGGCAATAAATAATGGCGTGTTGTTATGATATTCTGTCCCTGTCTTCCTTTGAGTATTTTTTTCTTTAGAGTAGATTTCATGCACATTTGTTTTCTTATTTTCCCTCCCCCCTAGTTAACCATATCTCATAAACATTTCCCCAGGTTATTAAAACCTCTTTATCGTATTTTAGATCAGAAGGTGGTCAGTTTTGAATGATGTTTTCAGGGGAAGGAATCAGATTAGATAAGGACTCCTCACCTTGTCTCATGGGATATTGACCAGACTTTGGTCTGTGTAAGCAGAGGACCCAGGGAAAGAAAGCGCCTTTTCTCTACAGCCTCAGACTTGCTGGGCAACTGCCCCGAGCTAAGTAATGAACCTGCTGTCCCCACTGGCTTTGAAGCCTCTCCTTATCAGGTGTTGGACTCTGGCTTTACTAAGGCTTGAAGACCATAAAACAATGTCATGCTTATGCTTGCTCCTCTGCCCTCTGTCCTCTGTTTGTAAACATCCCCCACCCCCACCTTCTGTCCTTACCTGTTCGGAAAGGCCAGAAGCATCACCCTGCTTGGGGAGTTCAGCTCAGTTTGCCCCCCTGAGTGTCCCCTCTTTCCTTCTGGTCCAGGTCATGGCTTCCGGGGAGTTTGCAGCCCCATGGAACGGAGCAGAATGCACTAAACACAGATCCTCAGGCTGGGGCTTGGAGCCCCTGGGGAGAATGAGGGGAGCAGCCCCGCCACTCGCCGCCCAGTAAGTGAACTACGAAACATCTGCACGGGAGTGACCTTTGCTTTTTGTTAAGCACGACTGCAAAAACTGCTGATCATAGCCCCGAACCTGCATGTGACGCACACATGGGGACAAACACCCTTCACAGAGCACACACCTCGCCAAGGACTTTGCTGAGAGTTATACATGCATTGTTTCCTTTGCTCTTCACAAGGATCCGTGAGGTAGATTGGTACCATTCCGACTGGAGGCACGTCGCTTTGGTTGTCCAGAGTCACGGCCAGTGCGTGCAGAGCCAGACTCGCACTGTCACCTCTCTCACTCTGATGTCCTAAACCACCAGCCCCCGAGAGCAGAGCATCCTAGAGCTGGAGGAGGCCTCAGGGGAGCTTGAAAAATACTGACCCCTCTGAAAGCCAGTGAAATCCCTGGGTGGGGCCTGGCATAAGGATATGATTTTATAAGTTCTGTACGTAATTCTGAGGGGCAGCCTGGGTGGAGAACCAGTAAAATCCAACATCTTTATTTACTGATGAAACTGAGGCCCAGAGAGGGTCTTGCCCAAGTTTATTCTTCTACCGAGTAGAAGAGCCGGAGCTCAGTCTAGGATTTAAGGGATGTTCGGGTCCGTACACGGAGCCCATGCAGCCACGGGCACCGCAGGGAGGTGCGGTGAAGCCTTTAGGTGGTTTTGATTCCAGACATGAAGAGCAGACCCCTTTCTCCCATGTTCCTTTCCTTCTCAAACCGCAGATGCTCATTCTCCATATTCAGCGCTTAACCACAGATCTGAACGTTAGGAAATGTCGTTTGTCTCCCTAATGGCCCTTTCAGGGATCATAATTAGAATTTTAAAGCCCCATGGGGCAGCCCTCTGCTACCCTGGGGAGCAGATTGCATGATGCAAATGCCCACCAATCCTCTTAGCCATTCCTTTGCGCCTCCCTTCCCCAGACACCCCTGACCTGCGGCGCGGCTGCATGTTGCCCCTTTCATGTGTCTTTCTTCTCTCAGATGAGGCTTGGCCGTAGCCACATGGCCAGTTCCACATTGCAAATCTGTGGCCAAAAGTCACAAAGGTTGGACTTAGGTCCCTAGAACCTAATTCCCAGAGGGCACTGACTAGGCTAGAAGGGTAGAGGTGGAAGAGGGGGCGTGGCCAGGTGGAGGAGGGGCGTGGTCATGAGCTGGCCTGTCTGCCGGGGGAAGGCAGGGAATTTGTGAGGGCAGTGACAGTGGCAGAAATGTAAATATTTCACTTCCTCTTCTTGGAGCCAGCCAGCCAGGAGCCAGCATTCAACTCTACCAAGCTGCAAGCTGCACCGGGCTGTACCTGAGGGAGGATAGGAGTGGGACATTTAAGGGTGTACCCTGGGAGGTAGAACAAAATAAGCCCAGCCTTCTACCCCTCTAGTGACCCAGGAGGCTGACCTCATGAAGGGGATCCCCTTTCCTGTGGCGAGGGGGAAGTTGTGTCATCCTGTCATCATGCCCTTTGTGTGATCTCGTCAGCTCACCGTGATGTTCGTTCCGTCACCTTCTCTGTCTTTCCACTCCTTCTAGGGCGCTCACGTCCTCACTCAGAGCAGTTTCCTGTCTGTACGAGGGGGAGCCCCGCTGGTTCGTACTGGAGCCCCTGAGATGGGGGATCCGGAGGCCAGAACCTTCTCTATCTACTCCTATGCAAGAGAGACCATCGATATGGAGCACAAACAAAAAAACACCTATGATGTCTGTTCTGGATGTTTCTACAGCATCAGCGTCTCCCTGGGAGCCGTCAGTCGACATCCGTGCTCCAAGAGTTGGAACAAGGGCTCAAAGAGTCATTATTTTAGATGCTGGGTCTTGATTAGGTTTGGGAAACATGAAATTCAGAGTCTAGTGGACTCTGGTCAAGGATTGCCAAGGGCGGAGGTAGGGAGTTGGGGCGATCTTTGGCTGTAAGTAGCAATTAAGAACAGGAGTGCCGGTGCAGACTGGTCTGGGCTCAAATGACTGCTTAGTAGCTGGGACCAAGTTATTGAAAATGCATCTCATTTTCTTTGTCAGCAAAGGAAGGATAATTAAGTGTCTACCCCCACAGAGATGTAGTGGCTGTTAAGTGAGCTCATGATATGAAGGGCTTAGCACAGTGCCTGGCATACCGCAAGCACTCGGTGAAATGTAGTTAGTTAACTTAGGCCAACAGCCTGATTCTCCCAGACCTCAGCCCAGGCCAGTGTGCACAGCTGTCCGTTGGGCAGACGTTCAGGTTGGGGAGGTGCGAGTGGGGGTGGGTAGAGAAAAGGGTATGGAAGAGAGTCACCCTGTGACGAGCAGCCCAGGCTTCTGTTCTGCTTATTGCTGGCCTCCGCCTGAGGCTGGGTTCCTGTCCGCTCAGTAACAGAACAGACGTACTTTCTCTCTGGTTCTTGGGGAGGCACACAGAAGAGTGACTGACTGTCTGGGCAGCTGAACAGTTATGCTGCAGTGGAGGGCCACACCAGCTTGAGTCACATGGCTCATCCTAAGGCCACTCCTGAGCCCACCCTGTCCCACAGACAAGGACTCAGCCATGACTCACTGTATTCAGGTGATGCCCAAGCCTTAGTCACCTGGTGCCCTTTCCTCCAACACCTGAGTATCTGTGTTCACAGCCTGGACCAGCCTCTCTCATCCTTCTTAGCCTCTTCTCTCTCCTTTTCTTTCTCCTTCTTGCCTTCTCTTGCTCCCTACCCTTTGATCTGTCATTGATCTGACCTTGGTGGCTCTGAACTGGGTGGTTTAAGTCTGGAAGATGTATAATGGAGACAGTAGCTTCTGGTGCTACTCTCATGCCCTCTCAGAGACACTGCCAGGAAAAACCGATTGGCAAGCAGAGAAGAAGCCTGCCCACGTCAGCATGGTGACATCTTTGTAATCTGAGGGTAGGTGCCTCAAAAAAGACCCCTCCTCCCTGCAGCTGACTGATGCATAAATTACCACTATTAGCTGTCCATTCTGGTGACCAAAAGTTCAGACTGTGCCCTCTGAGAGTGTAACTACACCTCCAAGGGCATGGAGACTCATTTAATTGTAGCAATTATTTATACTTCAGTGTGAATCTGTTTATTCCACTGAATATTATATATTGAGTATTATTCCAAATATTGAGGACCTGCTATGAGCCAGGCACTATTTCTAGGAACTTGGAACACAGTAGTGAACGAAATGGCCCAAAATATTTACCTTCTTGGACATTACGATCTGGTGTGGAAAGACAGAAAAGAAATGTGATAATAGGTAGGTTATGTAGTTAGAAGGAGGTAAGTATTGCAAATAAAACCAAACCCAACCCAACCCACCAATAATGCAGGGTAGGTGGGTATGGGAGTCCTGGGGTGGGGGATAAGGATGGTTCAGGGGGGTTGGTTGCCATTTCGAAGAGCAATGTCAGAGTCAGCCTCATTGAGAAGGTAGCATTTGAACAAAGACTTAACAGAGGTGAGAGAGCCTTGCAGACATCAGGGTGGTCCAGGCAGAGAGAACAGCGAGGGCAGTGACCTCGGACCGAAGCGCTCTGGTTATCCCCAGGCACAGCAAGGACACCACCTGGCTGGAGTGGAAGGAGTGAGGGATGGCAGCGGTCATGTCGAGAAGTCATGGAGGGGTCGTATCATTCAGGGCCTCTGTAAGGGCTTTGGTTTTGACCTTGACTGCAATGGGGAGCTGGTGCAGGGTTCTGAGCAGGGGAGGCTGTGACCTGTTGGGAGGCTACTGCAGAAGTCTGGGGAAGACAGGCTCAGGCCAGGGCGGTGGAAGTGGTCCCGGCTGCCTTCGGAAGGGGAGCTAACAGAATTGCTTGATAAGCTGAAGTGGGTGCGAGGGAAACAGGAGTCATGGTTGACTTGGCAGCCACTTTCCTGAGGGTGAGTTCAAATGAGTGTGCGTGGGGGTGGGGGACACTGAGGGCTGAGAGCTCCGAAGCAGGGCAGGGGGAGGCAGGGAGAGAGGGAAGGGTGCCCAGAGGAGAGGCTTCAGGGTTGGAGTGCTACCCTTGCATCCCCTGTAGCCCTGGCTGGGTCCTAGCCCAGCCCTTGGCTGTGTTTTAGACTACTTGTATCTGAACGAATTGGGTTCTGAAGTTCAAAGCCTGAGTCTGGGACCCTGCAGTCCTTGGGTGGGGAGGGGCTCGATCTGCACTGGGGAGTGCTCAGTGTCCCTAAGGACTGGGCTACTCTTGGGTTCTGCAGAAACAATACCCTGGATTAGGCCGGGAGTGCATGGGGTGGCCCAAACAGAGCAATTACCATTTCCCTCCTGTGAAGCCAAACCACTTCCTGGACCTGCCCCGGCCTGTGATGTCTGGGACTCCAAAGGCTAATTTACCTGAGCTCCTGGGGGAGTTGGAGGGGGATTTAAAGGTGAGGCCTACCCGCACCCCGCCGCCCCCTGCCCCGCAGCACCTTTGCTGGAGATCTGGGATTGCAACACCTGCTCTTCTGCTGAGTTACCTATTAATGAGCAGAGTTCTTTGTCACATCCTCCTTCCTGGTGGTGGGCAGAGGCTAAGCAGCTGCAAGAGACTGAAAGCTTCCTGGAAGGCTTGAGTTTAGGGAATTGGAGAAGCGGAGAGAAAGAAGCCTGGAGGTGGCTACAGTGACCTTTCTGGGGGACTGGATGGGGTCGGCCTGTGTTCTGTTGCAGAGACAGGGCTCAGAAAGGGAAGCTGCTTGCATTGCCTCCAGCTTATTGAGTTAAGCCAGATTTCACTGGAATGCTCACAGGGGTCAAGACACTAACATTTACTGGCATTTCCATTATGCATCTAAACAACTTATTGCCTGTCTGCTAATTATAGTATTTCTCCCGCCCAGTTAAATTTCTTGGGCTAAATTAGAAACTGAGGGTTCGAAGTACCCAGCTTAATCTGCAAAATTCTGTATTTTCTCCTTCAGAGTTCTCAAATCAATTTCTGGGACTTAACCTTTTTAGTGTAGAGAACTTCCTGCTTAGGAGAGGCTGACCAGCTGGAATGGCTAGTTAAGAGTCCCTGTTACATGGAAACTTTGAGGCAATACTGTCCCCAAACAATGGCAGTGCAGGAGCTCCAGGGCCAAGGTATGAACTAGGTGACCTTCCAGCTCTCTGACCCTCACCTGGGGAAGAATGTCCTTTGAGGCCGGCCTGTCCATCTTGCCTCTTACTGCCATTTACAGTGGCTCTCAGCCCGGTAGTCCTGAGCCAGGAGCCCACCCAGGGTCCCACAAAGGAAGCTGTGTTCCCAGGCCTGGCAGCAGGCCAAGGCAAGTTAGTCCAGTTATGCTTTGGCTTTGCCTTCCACCAC